TGCTTTATATTGACAATAGATTGTATGTTCCGTTCGTTAATAGTTTAAGAGAAGAGCTGATAGAAGAAACACACGAGAGGTTAGGCCATTTAGGATATTTGAAGACGATTGGTGATCTTAGGAGGGATTTTTTTTGGCCAAGGATGGCGAAGGACGTTCAGGTTTTACTTAAGTCTTGCGACATCTGCCAACGCACAAAAGGGTCCACTCAAGCGCCGGTAGGGAAGATGCTCACACCATCCGTACCTCGACTGCCTCTGGAATGCCTCGCCATTGATTTCATAGGGCCTCTTCCTAAAGTCAACAATTACGATATGATCTTGACTAGCACCTGTAGATTATCTGGTTTTACGAAGACAATTCCGTGCTGCCAAACTGACAACGCCGAGAAGACGGCCTCCCGACTTTTCTCAGGATGGGTCGGAACATTCGGTGCGCCGTCATCGATCATCAGCGACCGTGACAAGACGTGGACCTCTCAATTTTGGAAGGCACTTATGCGCAGGTGTGGAACGAAATTTCACATGACAACGGCATTTCACCCGCAGGCCGACGGCAGGAGTGAGCGCACTAATCGCACGGTAGGACAGATACTACGCACATTCACTGCAAAACGACAGGGCAAATGGTTGGAGTCTCTGGCGGCGGTAGAGTACGCTATCAATGGAGCAATTAATGTATCAACGGGTATGACACCGTTCGAACTCATTTGTGGTCGACGTCAACGTCTCCTTTCAATCCAGGATGCCGAAAGTACCGACCCTCCAGCTCTAGACAAGTGGTTGAAATCTAGACAAGACGCGTGGGCGTCTGCACGTGATGCACTTTGGGCCAGTCGAATACATCAAGCCTTGCAACACAACAAGCGATGCCGAACAGCTGACCCCTTACCTCCGAACTCATGGGCCTTACTCGACAATGCCGACTGGCGAGGCCGACATCAAGGGGGTGTGGACAAATTGAAAGAGCGGTTTGAAGGTCCTTACAAGGTCGTTGAGTCGACAAATCATGGTCAGAATGTGGAATTGGAACTGCCGGAGGGTGACCGTCGACACAATGTTTTCCATGTGTCAAAGGTGAAACCTTACGTCGAACGTGAGGAGGAAGAGGTCGAGGCGCCGAGTAAAGGAGTGCGGAAGTAAGTTCCTCTCCTCTGTATGCACCGCTGTAGTATACTACGTAAATGTCAAGAAAACAACGCCTAGGCCACTCTGTGAGCACAACTATTTCGATATTCTCCCTTTAGTATCGATGGCGCTGGTGGACGACATTGGCAACAAGCATCAGACTCAACAAATTTCGACCTCGACAATTATTTCAATCTTTTCTTCTTTCCGAATTTCAATAATTTTTTTTCTTTTCTTTTTGTTTCTTTTATTTCTTTTATTTCTTTTATTTCTTTTATTTCTTCTTTCTTCTACTTTTACAATTTAGTTCTTTTATGTTCCTTATTTACAAAATCATACAAATCTTAATTGTCTTTATTATTTTTTTTCTCTTCTTTTCGTTTTTTATTATTATTTACCTCATCAAGTTATAAGGCATTCTTCATTCTTTTATAGGAGGGGAGACTGTAAGACCTACGGTCATTACAAGACACGTAACGATATTACTTAAATATTAAATACTTAAATCTTAAATTTCATTTTCTATATATAGTTCTTTTCATTTCGATCTTGCCGATTGGTTCCTTAGAGATATCGGGACTGATTATAATCCCTCTATCCTTCGGAACCAGGTATAGTCATTACTTTCTTATTTCTTTCTTTTCTTTTATTATTACTATTGTTATCCTTAGAGATATCGGGACTGATTATAATCCCTCTATCCTTCGGAACCAGACGTGTTCTCGATTGGATTTGAAATCAAAATCAGGTCTCTTGGGTTCTAGAAACCCTTCACTGTGCCTCACAGTGTCCCGCTCGACGTGTCTAGTGAAGGTTCCTCCCGAACCTTACACCTAGATCCTTTAGGTCTTTCAAGTCGCCAGTGCAAAGCTCCACAGGATTTACACGGATCCGTGCAGCTACCAACGTTGAATGGTATCTCGTCAGAGAAGCGAGTTAAGATGGACGACTCTTCGGTTTCGTCAATCGTCCGTGCTGCAGGCCCGTTATTCACCATATCCAAAGAGGAATTGAGAACTGTTCACCTTGAAGATAATTGGAGCGTGTTAGAAGAGGCTGATAATAGTAGTGGATCCTGCAAGAATAGGCAGTATGAAGAGGTAAAGAGTATGGTAAGTAGAAGTTGCGTGCTTGAGAGATTAGGATGCTTGGTATTGTGAGTCAAGAAGAGGAGAGTTAGTAAAGGGTCGACGTGAGTTGTTTTCAGCGCGTAGAGTGTTCTGAGAAAAAAGGATAGATGTGCAGTAGCGGTGTGGAAGCAGATAAATTGAGGCAAGAAATTTAGAACTCAAAGGGATGATTAATCCAGGAAGGGAACGTATTGAAGAACACTACCTTTAGACGAATATCAGGAACGCGGTTGGGACAGGGACAGGCATTGACTTCGTTGTGTAGAATCAAGCTTGGGGCAATCAAGTGGGTCAGGTCAAATTTTTTAATAAAGGACATATAATTGCAAAAGATTAGTTATAGGTTGGAGTTTGAAGGCGCGCTTGTAGTAGAACAGAGAAAACAAACAAAATAGGCGTAAAGTTAAGAGGAACAAAATGAGAAGAGAGAGTAATGCAGCGCTGGTGAAGACCTGCACCATCGTTTACTCTTCATGGTCCTTTGCTTTCTTGGCTCGGGGTTTTGCAGGCTTCTTTGGGGACTTGCGAGTAGCCTTGGGTGGAGGCGGTAGCTCTTCTTCCTCCTCTTTGTCCGAATCAAATTCGTCCTCCATGTCAGGAGCCGGGTCTTGGTTTGCAGCTTTGCGCTTGCCTTTGACGTCGGCAGTCGACTTGGCACTTTTGAGTGGCTTAGAAGGACTGGGGCTAGGAACGTGCCTGGTGTGGATGTTAGCAATGGACTTGTGATGTTCCACGGTATAGGACTCACTTAGCAGGTCGAATACGTCCTGAAGGAGTTACTTGGCCTCCAGGGACCAACTTCTTCGCAGCGGAGTCAGATCTGCCTGTACAGTTACTAACGCTAGTGACCTGAAGCATAGCAGTGGAAGTCAGCAACGGGAAAAAAATAGTGGTAAACCGGATCTTACTTCAACGATCCACCTGGTGTTGTCATCATCCCAATCAACAATGAATCCATTAATCAAGGTTTCACGACCGATTTGAATCAAACCCTGGGCGCTTTGTAAGTTGCGTGTGGGTTGAATCCGGTATTCAATTTCGAACTGGTAGTCCTCCCGGATCTGTGTGGAAAAAAATTGCCATCAGACGTGGTAGTGCGGCTTTCAGAAATAAGATGACGTACTTGTGGTTTATAGTCAACGTGCTGCATGACAAAGCAGAGGGTACTTTTCCCAGTTGCATCGTCGGGGATCGTGGTCCAAGTAGTGACAACTCCAAGACCAGTCAGGGCTGTGTTGTTATTCAAGGTGCCTGCAAAGGTATCGCTAGTTCCGACTAAGATTTTATGGTCGGCCTCGTGATACATAGCATATTCGGCAGAACGAGAATCTGGGAGGAATTTAGATTTCATGACATAACAATGACCGTCGAGAGGAGCATCGATAGAGGAGCAGTACGCGGTAAAAGTGCTGTCGTACTCCGCTTCGCGATCGGAATCCCAACCGTTGCATGTGATAGCGACGGTAGAAGAACGGTAAGTGTAATTGCGGTTGTCGGCAGGTGGGAGCTAAGGATGGAGACAATTAGTACGGTTTAAACAGGTAAATGGGTGAGAGGCACTGACCAAAGCGGAAATCTCGATCACTCCAGAGACAGTGACAGGATGTGAAGGTCGGGCGAGGCCATTAGCAGCGGGTGTTGCAGAGGTAGAAGCCATAACGTTGAGATTCAGAGGCGAATGAGTAGCAGTGGAATAAGCTGAGAATAAGTTGAAGAGGTGTATGAGAGTGGTAGTTGTGGGATGTAGTAATGTGAGTAGAGGGAATACACTTATATAGGGAATGAGTAGGCTGAAATGGGCGGGTGGGGTATTAGGAAGTGGGCTACCTAACTGTCGACGGAGCGACAGAGACAGAGAGGGAGAAGATGATGTCACAAAAAGAGGACTGATGAAGTGGATTTTATTGTAAACTGGAAGAATGCCGCTAATTACAATGTAGAGGGGATAGGAGCTTGTTTGGCGGGAATAGATGTGGAGAATAACTGGTTTGGTTGGGAATGGCACTAAGAGAAGCAGATAGTGAGAAGTAATCATGGCCTGATCGAGGTTGGCGAGAGCCGTGTGAGCATGGAGGGAGTTGGCGGGTTAGTCAGAGAATAGGACTAATGAAGTCACTCGGATTGATAGCCGAAGCAAAGCGCTGATGGAGTGTAAGGTGACTAGAGCGGAATACATAAGAAATAGGTTGGAATGATAACTGGTCTGGGCAAGAATAAGACTGGGGTGATTGAGTACGTGTGAATCAACCAGGATTCGTGTGGTAGTAAGAGTTGATCGGGATGGCGAATGAGCGACTTGAACATGAAGTAATTGGGAAGAGATGGGGTGCCTAGTGTAGAGGAGTGTATACATAGAAGAATAAGAAGATGATCGAGGTATTGGGTACTATGGTGGTTCAATGGAGGCTGGATAGGACTGGATATGGGAGAGGATAGGATTGGAGAGGTATTGGGTAGAGAGAGTAATGACCAGAGCGGGAATATTGGGAATAGAGGAGAGCCGGGTCGGGAAAATAGGAGCGGATAGCAACGGTTGTGAAGAACAATGTTTTAAGTATATAGATCAGTACATCTCCCATATGAAACCACCTCCTAATCAAACTCACAAGGCGATG